GAATAATTATTCACCAATTTACTTTCTAAAATTATTTCTGAAAGAAATAAATAAGAAATATTATTATCATAATACATTATTTAACTGTTGAAATTTAGTTACTATAATGCACCATAATAGTAATATAAATGGGAAAACGTTAATGAGGAAATAATTTACATTACAAAATATATAACTCGAATATTAAAATTCAGAGATTATAATGATTACTTTAATTTTTATTTATTTTTATAACGTAACTTGTTGGTGAACTTTTGAAAATTATAATCATTGTAGTTTTATGTTTATTGGCGACAACAAGTAAACAGGGAAAAAAGTGGAAAGGTTTAAAAATACTTACCGACACATGCACGTGGATTCACGTGTTAATCCTTTTGTAGGTAGCCAGGAACCCTTTGAACAAGCCCGCTGGAACCTACCTAGTTAGCGTCCGTATGTTTTATATTAAGCTTTAAACTCTCGTCGAGCGTTTCTCTCATAGTCGGATAATTGACAAGTCGAGATTAAACTTGTTTTCCTGGCAATTTTTCATTCCATCTAATTCGTGGTCCATTAGAATCAAATCTTTCTTCGTTTTGTCTTTCATCGCGTTATAATCTAGAAGAGAGACGTTCTCATCGCTACATCATTTTAGACGCCAAGTTCCTTTGACTCTCGAAAATTATAGGAAATTGTATATTTGATAACTAGGGTGATATTGCATATTTTAATTTTCGATTTTTTAAATATAGTAATATTAATCTTAAAATTGTAAAATTTAATCAAATTTTTAGAGAAATGAATTTAATTAAAGAAAAGGCTAAGAAATTTTTTTTTATTGTTTTTTATTATCACTGTTGTGGTACAAATGTATATCATTAATTAATAACACTGAAACAATTGGAATTTATTAAACTTTCAAGTAAAATTCAACAATTTTAATAATTGAGTAACTAAACTGATAATTTATCTATAAAAAATTGAACATAGAGAAAATTAAAAATTTTTAATTCTTCCATTAAAATTTATATCAATTTTAAGTATTAAGTTTTCATTTTATTTTTATTTTTATTATTTTAATTGTACAATTTTCTTAGTCATATTTATATTTTATGACAAATACAATTTAAATTTATACACGAATATGTAATAATAATAATAATTTTATGTATTGCTAACTATAATTTCAGGGAAAATTTGTATTATTAATTTTGTCATAAAATCTGTTTTGTAGTAGGATTTAAAATTAAAAAATATTCGTATACTAAATGAACAATATTGACATTTTTGCATATGGAGAATTAATTCGATTTGCTTTTCGATTGGAATTTGAACAATTTTCAATTATTAATTGTATAAATTTAAATTTCTACATCTAGTTTCAGTAATTTATTCAATAATACTTATATCAATAATAATAATAATATGATCATTATTACTATTAAATATAATATTATATGTAATATATATCTAATAATATTATAAACAAATAATATGATATGTCCCAACTATAATATAAGGATATAACATTTTATAGTAAATAATTTATAGTAATATATAATAGAAAATTACATATTTTGTTTTCTGCACGTACCGTTATAACTTCAAAGAACGTCTGTATCATCAACTTGTGAATTTTAATGGAACAGGTACAGGGCATCAGGAATAAAGATGTAGTAAGCAGGAAAATGTATTTCTACACGGTGTCATCGTGTGCATTTCCGTTCTTCGCGCTGGTCCCGGTCGAAACAAATCGCGTACGTACGCGTATATTCTAAAATAGAATGGCGAGCATATTAAACAAAGCCACGATACCATGAATATGTCCCCCTTACCTACTTCTTCCCTGTTTCACGTAATTTCCTATGACACTACGCGTGAAATACGATTTCACGTTTCCGTTGTTAAATGAGGACAATTAACAGGTGCACGTGTTATATATACAAATACACACATTTATATTTGTACATACATGTAGTGAGTCACAGAAATTTCTATTACTGCAGCTTATTGATTAATTAATTCTTATCATTCAATATGAATTTCAAAGTCCTTGTCAATGGAAATGTGTACATTGTACTAGAAGACGTAGTAACATCACACTCTGTTGTTTTCAGTGTTTCTAGAAACTAATGCAATGTACGCATATTTCATACTATTTATATTTTTTTTTAGAAATTTTACTCATTTATGTGAAAAATGGCCGCGACAGAATGATAACATAAGTATGAAAAAGTAGATCAACGAGATCTTGTTTTTCGAAAATACAAATAAATAAATAAAAATATCGATTTTATTATTTATTATTTACCAAATTTTTATTATTATTAATTTAATTTATGTATTTAATTTATTATTTAAGTTATTAAATTATTATTATTTACCAAAATATTGTAAAGATAGTAATTTTTTTTTTTAAATCTTTATCACTTGCTTTGAATAATATTAACATCCCCTCGTAAAATCAAATTTGATTTTTAATGAGACCATATTTTGTTTCCAAGATATTCTGCTTTGAAGCTACTCGTGAAACACTGGAAACCATAGTGTCGTGTGCTGTGTTAACTATTCCTTCAATGAAATTTAATCGTAAAATGAGAATTTGAAACTTTTATGCCATCGAATTAGGCAAATTGATATAAATCTTGATAGATTTTACCAATTAAATAAATTAATAGATTGCTAGCAATTCCAATTTTTATGTATAGGTGCATATGTATGTATTCATATGCTATACATATATATAAAATTATACGTTGCATGATTTCTTCTGACTCTAATTATCAATTCGTTAGGCTATTGTTTAACGTTATTTCAGTTCTGGAATCTGCTAATGGTGTTATTCATTATCTACGAATTTTGAGTACAATTCATTTTTTTCAATGATTTTTCCTTGATAAATGACTAGAAAATAATCGCACCTTTGCTAAAATTAATGTAACAATAATGTAACAATTGTAATTGTAGGATAATGTAATCTAATTATTATTCACCCACTTTTCTGGGACATAAAATATTCTAAAAAGGGTCCAAATTTATTTCATTTCACTCCGTTTAATTATTGTTCTTACGTATTTATTTATCATTCCTATATTACGTCCATCTAAAAAGAATTTCAGGATTCGCATTGATTTATAAGACATACAATTTTCAATAAACGTAGTAACCTTATATGTTTAAACAATAAGAAAGATTTTCGAGCAGCAATTTTTACTTCATGCATAATTTTGGGCATTCGAAAAATTATTCACACGTACACATATTCGTAGTCGTATTAATAATCGAATACTATTGTGTTCGTAATGTTGTTCTATATTTTTGTCGACAATAATGGTAACAATCTGATTATTTTTCATTGTATACAAACATTCGTCAGAGTTAATAGATCGATAAGTTTTATTTATTTAATTAACATATTTTTTTTACATAAGAAGCAATAATATGCATAATACTTAAATTTGACATAACAAAAATATTACAGTTAGGAAGCAATAGTTTATTTACAATCTTTCCTTCTTTGATTCTATTATCGCTCTTTTATTGCCCCCATCCTTGTCGTAAAATTAGGCATTATCTTTGTTTCGTGTATTAGCAAATGTATCCTGTATTCTCACTTTTGCCGAATCATAGTGATTTCGATCGAAGACTCTAGGAAAAATAAAGGATTTGTTTGTCACGAAATTAATTTCATTTGATTTAATTCTTCATTCTTGTTTGTTTATTCGACTTCCGACACTATTTATCAAAAAGTCTTTCTGTGAAATATTCTACTCATTTTCATAGAATCAGTTGAACTCATCGTACGATGAAACTTTATTTTTGCAGTAAAATCGTGAATGGACGAATGAATTTCGCTGAAGCATCATAAATTATCAGTATCATCTACAGTGATTTAATTTTTATTATTCTCCGTATCATTTAACATTTAAACAAATTTTCAAAATGATCATGGAATAAATTATTTAATTAATTACACTAATTACACGTTTGAAATCCAGTTTCATCATCATTCGTAGACATGGTTTATTAAAAAGACGTTAATGGTGAGTGAAAAACGTGTTTCCATGGTGATCATAGAACTTTGGTACGATGCAGGTTTACAATGTGAAATGCGACATGTTTTCCAAAAGTGGATATTTCTGTGCATCGAGATCTAGTGGATTATCGCGTTAACAATAAACGAACATAATCAGGGAAAAAACAAAAAAGAACTATAACAGAAACAATACGTCTGGATCTTCCATATCCTCGTGAATCCTACAGAAAGTGATCTTTCGTCTCGAAAGAAGTGTGCTTACTCCCATTGAAATTGTGAAATTGTACAAAGCAATTTCATAGAAAGGAAATAAATTGCTTACAAACATTACCAGCAAGAGTAGTTCTAGGCACGTCAGAAACATGAACGTATCCAACGAACATCCAAAAATACCCAGAAAATCGCCTACTTGGACGTTCATATCTTCGAACACTTAAAGAAAGAAAAAGGATTCTCGCGACTAAAAGGATAAAACTCGTGTAAAATGCTATGAGCTTAAGAAGAATGCGCGAAGAGGGACCAACGACGGCAGAGGATCCGACAGATTCAAAGGATCCTAGGTCGCCTGGATCGCGTGGCGATTTCTTCCGAAGGAGAAGCCACTGAATCACGCGAGTTCCCTTTTTCCTCAAAGCAGCCTAACATCCATCTCCATCAACGTTGGATCGACTTCAAACGGCGTTGCTCGGGCAGAGGATTCAAAGGAAGGAGTGTCCAGAAAAATCTTTGAACCTCCGTCTGTTTGGGGTGCCTGAGCCAGGCCTAACCTCAAACAGACTCGCGAGGTCGCGAGCCTCGGCTGTGGAGGCTGCATCCTAGGTTCGAGCGATTAGGTTCGAAGGCAGATCAAAGGGATCGAAAGATGTGAGGAGGATCGGGAGGATCGACGGACGATGTCGGAGTCGTTGATGATCCAGTGATACACGGTTTCGTCGCCTGACGAAAAAACAGCGAAGAAACTTCGCCGTTTCTTCAGCCATCCAAGATGCTGGACATATTCCGAGGCCTCAAGAGCCTGATCAAGATCTCTCACGTGCACATCGACACAGCTGTGTTCCGATTGCACTACAGTTTCACGGTCATCCTTCTCATCTCTTTCTCGTTAATCGTCACTACCAGACAGTACGTTGGCAATCCCATCGATTGCATTCACAGTAAGGATTTACCCGAGGACGTGTTGAACACGTATTGCTGGATCCACAGCACGTATACGATCACAGCGGCTTACAGGAAACGGGAGGGTTTCGAGGTTCCGTTTCCTGGCGTGGATAACTCGAAATCGCATCCGGAGACGGAGAGGAAGGAGTACAGGTACTATCAGTGGGTCTGCTTCATGCTGTTTCTACAGGTAATCGATGAGACGGTGCTTGTTTCATGTTTGTGAGTTTTCCTTTTCTTGCTCTTTCGTGTTTTAAGGATAACAGAAACGAGAAATTGAAAGATTCGTATTGGAAACGACCCTTGTCATTTTTTTTATACTTTTTCAGTAATATTGTTAATATTATATTATTTATTAGTCAGAGGTAAGGCTCGTGGCATGGTGAAATTGGTATTACGAAAGGCGATGTATTTTTTGAATTATGATGCAAGAAGGTTCACTGATTTTATAAAAAAAAAATCGAGGATGAAGTATTTTCTTTCTTTTTTGAAAAATCAATAAAAGTGAGAAGGGTCGGTTTTCATTCGAATCTTTCAGTTGTTTGAGTTGATATATTTGGATACGTTGGTTATCATTTGCAAAGACGTCTTATGATTGGTGGATATCTTTGGTGTATAAAATTGAGAACTATTTATTATATAGAGACTCGAAATTTTTTTTGTATAAAACCCATGATATTATTTCTAATAATATAGAAAGGAAACAGATGTAGAGCAATTAATATATAGAAATATTTTATTTTAACATTTTATACAGTGGTGGACAAAGCTGTTCAAAAGATAAGATAAAGATAAAAATTATTCAAAAAGATATTGTCTGTATAACATGATTAAAATCGTCAACATTGCTAATTACTTTCTTATTATTGTAGTACATATAAACAATTTTCAAAATTATTAAAATGTGTTTTACCTTACTTGCAATAATAAAAAGTCGTGGAACAATGTTTGATTTAAATGAAACATCGTGGGTTTGTACAATAGACAAAGATATTATGAAAAACGAAATAACATAAAACTGATTAAACTACTATATGTGATGGAAATCATGCAACATCTATCTGAATCATTTTTTCGTACAGCAAATATTTTATGAGATATTGGAGGTCGCCATATTACGAGATTCGTTTATGTTCGATTACAAGTATCGTTTCTCAAAATGCAAACTAGAAAATAACTAGAGATAGAAAGCGTTAATGTAATATCAGAAGATGGAAGGTGAAATAGGATGTTAATAATATAACCACGTGTTTATAACGATTAATATAGATTTTATTGAAGATCTATTGCACATGAGTATTCTACACCGTATTCAAAAAAGTCTACCAGATTCACAATATGATATATAGTTAGTTTCGAGGGTTGCCAACACGCTGTGGCTCTTTAAGGCGCGAAGTATGAATTGAATATACGAATATATTTCAACAGAAAAAAGCTTCTAATAAAAATTGATCGACTATTATCGATATTTTCAAAGAAAATACTTCAGTTTATGAAAAATTTTCACTCGTTGCCGAATTAACATTTTGGGAATGTTAAAGAAACTTGGAAAAAAATTGTATATATTAATTTTGCCTTATAAAATTATCCTACACAGTTTCATTCAAATTAGATCTTTTTTAACAAAAGTATGGAATTTTTATTTTAGAATTATTATTATTGCAGTCAAAGAGAAAAATTATTTTAATAATGTGAATAAATGATTGCATTTTTTACGATTCTAAGTTAGGAATTTGCAATATTGATTTTAATCATCTTGTTATTATTCGATACCGTTTTTAACCATTTTTGCTGTGTTCAGTTTTGCTTATATATTGATATATTATCTACAGTTGTAATTCACTTTCCATACGAGGTGCACACATATTACCTATTGACTAAGTTATATATAAGATCAGTTCTTTTGTCCATTATTTACAAATTTGCAATATATAATTACGTAATATAATACGTAATTTTACCAAAAATTTCACAGCTTGTATTAATCAAACTTCATTTTGGAGAAAATGATTGTTCATAGTAAATGAACGCTCATATTTAATCGATATTTAGCTTAGATAGAATATTAGAGAAATTCTAGCATAATTTCAATAATTATATGAGCTGTTCACTGCACAAATCGATTAACTCCACTTTTTGAAAAATCTTAAATTTAAGTGTCAAAGCCCTTGGCATAGTCGTAACTTTTTATATTTATAATAACTTTCCCTGATAATTAAGATTAACACCATTAAACGACAAAAATTTGTTGGCCACTGAATAATAAATAATTTATTTCAGAGCTCACTTTGATTAACTCCGTACTCTAATGTAAATCGTTACAATAATGCAACTCAAATGCACTAGCAAGCCACGAATGATAATGGTGAATTTTTTAATGCCGTCTTATCAGAATTTAAGTAAAATTTAGTAAAATTTAAATTTATTACTTTTTTCACTCGCCAAATCGATTAACTCTTCCAGTAACGTAAAAATGGTAACATTACTAACGATTACCTTTTGGCTATTTTTTCTTATAAATTTTATATACCCTTAGATGAAAGTTACATTTGTATTTATGCATTCTACGATATTTATTTCGATTTAAATTATAAAGGGAATTTTAAAAAACAATATACATTATTTCATTGGATTTCTCCACTTTTTGTTTTATGGAGTTAATCAATGTATGCAGTGAACGGCTCATATTTCCTAAAAATATACTCGAACTAAAATCAGGTATATCGAAATACCTGTTCATGGAGTAACTTTGCAAATTAAATTAATGAACATTCAAAAAGAATTCTTCGAATTGGATATATATACATTTATAGAGTCCATTGCCTTTGAAAATAGTAAAAAAATCAATTTTCTCGCTTTTTGTACCTTCGAAGTGATTGTGTAGCAATAGCTAGCTATAGTCCGAACATAACTGCATAGCCTAGATTTAAGGATAAGCCACGATTGTCGTGCAGGATTGAACGAAACGATATATGAGTCACACGTAATTGAAGGACAAGAAAACGTGAGTTAACCGATATATGGTTAACATGGAGAAACACCGAAGAAAATGGTGGAAGAACTAGTGCTATACGTTCACTGCAAGCCATTCGGATTAAAGCAGTGAACGTTTGTAACTGTCTACCAGGTGATACTCGATCGACAAAACTATTCGTGAAATATTTGTTATTTCAATTACTAAGAAACTTCCAAATGAATTTCGAAAGGAATAACACGAATTAAATGCAAGAATAATATCAAATCATCCAATATGTCTGAGATAATACTTAAATATTCATAATTGTTTAAATATTATTTGTATAATATCAAATTTTATAATGTAATAAAAGTAATTGGTACATAAAGCAATAACATAAAAGTAATAATAAAAGAAACAATAAAAATTTTCCAACATTTTTGTAATATATATAATTTATAAATATTCTGAGGTTAAGTTATATGTCATAATGAAAATTTTATTTGGTCAACGTGAGGTACACTCAATATATGTAGCATAAACGTGAAGTCACTGAATATCTAGGTGGCAGGGAACCTGTTAAAATTTGGAATTTCATATTTGGAATATACATATGTCAGACGAAGATTAAATCTCTGATAAACGTGGAGCTTTAGCTTTCCATCTCAAGAGATACACGAATAATATTTTGCAAAAATTAATTAATATCTAAATAGTGAACAATAAGTTATACCAAAGTAGCTTTGAAAGGCAATTGAATCTTGTCAGTTGACGAAATATGCATATTTATGAATTTTGGAATTTTAACTAAATTCCAAAGTAGTAACTGAACTCCAGAGCTATAAATTTTAGCTTTATCTGGGTCGTAAAAACTAGTAGAGGTGATAGCAAGGTAAACTCGGTTTTGTATATTATACACAAGAAATGTATCCATTTGATATGACTCAATCTTGCCTGGGGGATACAACAGCTTAAACACTGCAAGTTTCGATTCCATAGAGAATTCATATGCAACGTGCGAAAATACTGTATCTTATGTCCACTACAAATGTTACCACCAACATTTATGTTTCATTTACGTCTGGAACATTTCTTTTTCTTAATTATCGCAGTAAAAGGTTTTCCAAAAATCATCATATAGCATGTCTGGGTACTTATGTTTTATTTTTTAACAAACAAAAGGATTTTTCAGTATATTTACCATGACAATTTACTACAAAATTAAAAAGATAAAATTGTAATTTTATAAAAAATAATTTTTTGTTGTCAAAAAGGAACAGAAGTACAATTTTTTGTCGAATAGAAATAAAAATACTGTTTTTTGTGTAATAGAAAGAAAAATACAATTTTTTAACGGATGAAAAGATTTTTCAAAATATTTACTATTGCAGTTTACTGTCATGAAAGCATTGAATATCTTTTATACGAAATATTTTTTGACAGATTAACATAAATGAAAAATTGTGGCGATCGTTAGGTGAACACACTATACGTATGTCGACATGCATGACATTTATTCTATGTATGTATTAAATTTCGATTCAACGTACCTAAATAATTACACTATGATTTTTTTTGATAAAGTACAGTAACAATGAATACATTTAATTGACATATTATACAAGAGTTTATATTATATTTTGAAAGTTATAGATAACACTCCGATAAAATAACAATGATTCCTATTTAATATTGAATAATCTGAAAATAAAGATAGTGATGTATTAGGTTTCTTCTCGTAATAAGTAACAAGTAATAAGTTGTAAGTTTTAATAAAGAATGTAGAGAAATTAGAGAATGATCTCAAAAATAAACATTTTCGCTAAATATAAAATAAAAGAATATTTCGACGCTTTGCAGTTATTATTTTTTCGGTATATATTTATTTTGGTAACAACAAATTTTACAATCTAAAATTTCCGAATCATTACACTGAACATTTTCTTAATATTTAGGAAAAGATTCCAAAATATACATAGAGAAAAGAAAAGAAAATTCTTCAAAATCTAATAAAGAATTATGTATTTTCTAATTACGATATTTTTATACTTATTACAAAGTATGATAACTTAATCGATGAGGTCTAGCAAATAGTATTAATGAAAATTTCTTTCATAATATTTGATCGCAAAGTGCAAATACAATTTATTGTTAGATAAAGTCATACTAAATGTAAATATTACTGTCGATGCATTGTGCTTCAAGATTATATTGCAGAAACTAAAAATTATGAT